GCCGAGGATTTTATGTGGTACACCACAGCTTTTATGAAGGCACATAATGTACTCTCTGAAGTTCAGTCTAGAAGTTGGGCAATGTTAACGTGTTTATAATAGCTAAAATCTGGTGGGAATGCTTTTTGGCTTTGGAACACTGCATGCACCTTTTAAAAAAAAATATCACATTCTTAAATCGAGGTATACTTAAAATGAAATAAAAGGAGGTGTGCAGGGAGCCTGGCCACATGCACAAATAAAAATGAAGAAAGAGTGAGACGTGGTCATGGCACAGCTCCCATTGACTTCACTGTGTTACTTTGGTAACTGTGCTCTCTCTCTTCTTCCATGGTGGACCTCTGCCAAGCTTGAGTCCCCTGAGCATTCTTTCAAAAGTGAGGTGCACTCCTTTTAATACTCTTGGTGATAACGGCATAGATAGAAATATGCACAACCAGCTATTTGGCCCTCTTTCTATTGTAACGGGAGAGGGAGAAAATAGTTGGGAAAATATTCTTTTTGGGCATAATTTTGAGAATCTATCGTACACATAGAAACCACATGCGCTTTTTGTTAATGCACAGGAAAGCCTTTTTTTTTTTAATTACAGTAACCATTTTGTTTGATATTAAGTATGTTTTACATTGGTTCAATATGTCAATCTATTTCTTCATCTTTGTACTTGCCACAGCTGGCTGGAGTCCCACTCTGCAGAGAAAAGGATATGCAGTCCCCTTGGGATTCATACAGAAAACTGTGTCCTGACATCTGCCCAGTCATCTTTAGTTCTCTTAGGAAAAATAAAGGAAGCTGCTTTCAGCATGGGTGTTTTGTGTTTGACATTAGGAGTACTCCTGTTTATTCACCCTTTTATGATTTTAGGTGTCTGACTGCAAGTAGTAGGAAACATATGGGAATAAAACTGTCTGTGTGCACCGCTAAAGGATTCTTACCCTGTTTCTGGTTACTTTTGATGCTTCTGATGCAATTCCTGAAGTTGCATATTTCCCCGCAAATGGGTATGTTCTTTGAGTTCCGGGAAGAATCTGTTAGCACAGTTTCATCTGCTGTTTCAAAGCAGCGGAGAACTGTGTTTCCAGTGACAATTTTCAGGAATGACTGGTGATAGATAGTAAGTGTGTTGCAGCTTCTTACTACAGCTCTGTGTAAAGCTGTAGATTCTTTTGAAGAATCAGATGGAAGAAGGTTCATGAGGAGGTGTGTGGCAGAGCACTAAGTGCAGTTGGCTTTTCTGTGTTGGAGTTGAGTCCACAGTAGAATCTAGGTAGTTCTCTTTTTGTCAGCTCTGTGGTACTTTTTCCTCCACTCTTGTGGTGAGAACTCTCCTTCTGAGGTTTCAACTACTACACATATGTACGTGATTCTCTGTTCTCATAAATGTAGTCAGATGAGAGACTGTGGTCCCATTTTGTGAAGCTTAAACAGTTTGAAGTTCTGCAGCTCGCAGTTGCCATCTTTCAGCTAGAACTTAGTCATAAGTGTCATAACTTGCAGCTCTGAATACTCCTATTCTGTTTCAATGCCAAGTGAAACAGATTAGCAGATCTCAAGTTAGTTTAATCTAATCTCTTTAATCATTCTGTGGGTTATATTTATCTACTTTACTTTACACTTGTGTGGACTACTAGAAGCATTCATGCAGTCAGTGAAAATCTCAGCAGAGGGACAATGTCTTGTCAAACAGCTTTTGTCTGGGTTACAATTGAAATTCTCTTTCTAGTAATTCTTCTTTTTGCTTTGCAACCCTTGGCAATCTCACTGTCATTCTGAGCTGCCAAGTCTGCAGCCGCATCCTTGCAGGAGGGATAAGAATTTCTGCAGCTGAACTGGCATCTTTCTTTGCAACTGATCCTGGCTCAATCAGGAATGTACTTTTGAGGGGAATCTCCTCACTGCATTTGTTACATGTCAAGGGACATATGACCTGGGTTCTCTTAGGATGAGACTAAAGTGGAGGACTGTGGTGAGTTGACCTTGGCTGGATGCTAGGTGCCCACCGAAGCTGCTCTATCACTCCCCCTCCTCAGCTGGACACAGGGGAGAAGATATGATGAAAAGCTTGTGGGTCGAGACAGGGACAGGAAGAGATCGCTCACCAGCTACCATCATGAGAAAAACAAACTCAGCTTTGGGAAAAAATTAATTTCATAGAAGCATAGAATGGTTTGGGTTAGAAGGGACCTAAGATCATATAGTTCCAACCTCCCTGGCATGGGCACAGACACCTTCCACTAGATCCGGTTGCTCGAAGCCCCATCCAGCCTGGCCTTGAACGCCTCCAGGAATGGGATATCCACAACTTCTCTGGGAAACTTCTCTCCAGTTTCTCACCACCCTTACAGTAAAAAATGTCTTCCTAATATCTAATCTAAATCTACCCTCTTTCAGTTTAAAACTGTTACCCCTCTTCCTATCGCTACACTCCCTGATCAAGAGTGCCTTCCCATCTCTCCTGTAGGCCCTCTTTAAAGTACTGGAGGGCTGCTATAAGGTCTCCCTGGAGCTTTCTCTTCTCCAGGCTGAACAGTCCCAGCTCTTTCAGCCTGTCCTCATATGGGAGGTGCTCCAGCCCTCTGATCATCTTTGTGGCCCTCCTCTTGACTCACTCCAACAGGTCGATGTCCTTCTTATGTTGGAACCCCAGAGCTGGATGTAGTACTCTGGGTGGGGTCTCATGAGAGCAGAGGGGGAGAATCACCTCCCTTGACCTGCTGGTCTCAATTCTTTTGATGCAGCCCAGGACATGGTTGTCTTTCTGGGCTGAAAGCTGGGCCATGTTCAGCTACTCATGAATCAACACCCCCAAGTCCTTCTCCTCAGAGCTGCTCTCTAGCCACTCTCCGCCCAGCCTGTATTTGTGCTTGGGATTGCCTTGACCCATGTGTAGGACCTTGCACTTGGCCTTGTTGAACTTGCTGAGGTTGGCATGGGCCCAGTTCTCAAGCCCATCAAGGTCCCTCTGGATGGCATCCCTTCTCTCCAGCATGTTGACCGCAACACACAGCTTGGTGCTGTTGGCAAACTTGCTGAAGGTGCACTCAATCCTGCTGTCCATGTTTCCGACAAAGATGTTAAACAATGCCGGTTCCAATACCGACCCCTGCAGAACACCACCTGTCACTAGTCTCCATTTGGAAATTGAACCATTGACCACAACTCTTTTGAGTGCAACCATGCAGCTGGTTCCTTCTGTCAAATTCATGTCTCTCCAGTTTAGAGACAAGGATGTCATGTGGGACGGTGTCAAATGTTTTGTAGAAGTCCAGGTAGATGACATCAGTTGTTCTTCCCTTATCCGCCAACGCTGTAATCCCTTTGTAGAAGGCCACCAAAATTGTCTGTCATGATTTGCCCTTAGTGAAGCCATGGTAGCTGTCACCAATCACATCCTTATTTTCCATGTGCCTTAGTATAGTTTCCAGGAGGATCTGCTCCATGATCTTGCCAGGCACAGAGGTGAGACTAACTGGCCTGTAGTTCTCTGGGTCTTCCTGTGAGGTGCGGTCGACACGCTGGAGGGAAGGGATGCCATCCAGAGGGACCTTGACAGGATTGAGAGCTGGGCCCGTGTGAACCTCATGAAGATCAGCAAGGCCAAGTGCAAGGTCCTATATATGGTTCGAGGCAATCCCAATTTCCCTTTTTACAAATGGAGTCTATGTTTACACTTTTACAGTCACCGGGAGCTTCACCAGACTTCCACAACTTGTCAAATATTTAATTTATTAAGAATCAAATCAGAGTAGGATAATGAGAAATAAAACACATAAGATTTAAAACACCATCCTCCCAACCTCACCTCTCCCTTCTTCCTAGGCTCAAAAGCTTTGCTCCCAATTTCTCTAACTTCTCCCTTCCAGCAGCGCAGGAGGACGGGGAATGGGGGTTGTGGTCACTTCATCCACATTGTCTCTGCCGCTTCTTCCTCCACAGAGGGAGGATTCCTCACACTCTTCCCCTGCTCCAGCATGGGGTCCCTCCCATGGGAGACAGCCCTGCACAAACTTCTCCAACATGAGTCCTTCCCATAGGCTGCAGTTCTTCACAAACTGCTCTGTCGTGGGTCCCTTCCATAGGGTGCAGTACTTCAGGCACAGACTGCTTCAGTGAGGGTCCCCCACAGGGTCACAAGTCTTGCCAACAAACCTGCTCCAGCGTGGGCTAATCTCTCCACAGGGCCACAGGTTCTGCCAGGAGCCTGCTGCAGCACAGGCTTCCCACAGGGTCACAGCCTCCTTCATGCGCATCCACCTGCTGTGGCTTAGGGCCCTCCATGGGCTGCGGGTGTATCTCTGCTCCAACGTTACTCTCTTTTATGGGCTGCAGGGACACAGCTGCCTCACCAGGGGTTGCAGGGGAATCTCTGCTCTGGTGCCTGGAGCAACTCCTCCCCTCTCCTCACTGACCCTGGTGTCTGCAGAGTTGTTTTCTCTCACATCTTCTCACTCCTCTCTCCAGCTGCAATTCCACGGGTTTTTTTTTCCCCCCTTCTTAAATGTTATCCCAGGGGTGCTCCCACCATCACTGATGGTCTCAGCATTGGCCAGCGGCAGGTCTGTCTTGGAGCTGTCTGGCATGGGCTCTGTTGGACACGCAGGAAGCTTCTAGCACCTTCTCACAGAAGCCACCTGTGTCGCCCTCCCAGTACCAAAACTCTGCCACACAAGCCCAATACAGGGATGTTCTCTAGCAGCACACCTAATTCATGCCCTCTGCTGATTCCTTCTATGGGACCAGGCTAGGCCTGGGCTGAAGTTCTAGCTCCTGAACTGCTTTTACAGGACACACTGAGGTGTTAGCAACACTCAATTCACTCAATAAATCTACTGTCATTGTTCTGCACAATTGTGTTCAGAATTCTTTGATGTGGATTGTACGTGCCTGTAAAGGAATATGGAGAGTGTTTTAACAGGTTTGGAAAGTTATCTTTTCTTTGTTTATAACTCTTAAATGTTTACATCTATATTATGTCTTAATATTATATTTATTTACTGCAGGGTGTTGGGAAAAACAAGATTGTTGACAGATTCCTTCAGCTTTTAAACAGGCCCAGAGAATATTTACAGCTGCATAGGTAAGAATGTGTTACGTTTCCATCCTTTGTGTTTATAATCTGATTTCCCATGTTTTAATACTCATGTTTCTGAAGTTTAATTTATTCTTATTGTTTGAACAAGGACCCTGTTATGGTAGGTAGCACACAGACCACAGGAATGTGTCCGTTTTATAGGCAGAGGCAATAAGCTGATGGGTTGAGAAGGGGATACAAGAATCTAATGCAATCACATTGCTTAATATAAGAAGGAAGTAGAAGTCAGAGCATACTGATGTTAAACCACACTCAAGAAGAGAGCAATATTTTGCTGTAATTTCTGGAGAGATTTCCCTAAGCGTGAGGCACTATGTAAGGGAAAAAGTTCAAAGGTGCTTGTTTGAATATATCACTCATGAGACAAGAAACATTTTACATAGTAAAGGCTTTTTGTGTTTTTCCTTTGGCACTCCAGCTAAGCCAATGTATTTCTTTCTCACCCATAAACATTTGGATTAGAAATTTATTTTTTCATATGCATGCTAAAAAATGCACTTCAAGAAAACAAACCAGTTGAAAACAATTCAAAAGCTGAAATAATACCACTTGATCTGCCTGCTTTCTATAACATTAACTTTAAATCACTGCATTGAAATAAAGACTGAATGTGTCTAGAAGACTCAGTTTTAGTTGAAATGCATCCTTTTTCAGCTTCACTCCTAATCTTTACCTCTCTGTCTTCAACTTCCTGGCTTCAGCACCCTGTCTCTTTTCATAATCACTGTGTTTTAAATAGTGCTAATGAACATACTTTTTTGATACTTTGCCCTTTAACAACACAGTCTCTGTAACACTTTGTCTCTCACTTTCTTCCTCAGCTTTTTATCTTCAAATGTCTTGTCCTTGTATTCCTGATGCTTGGATAGCTCTATCTCAACACTTTTCTATTGCTGTTTTCTTTTATACTACCTCTGCTAGACTTCCATCACTTCTTTGCAAAATACTGCTTTTGTGACTTGCTACTTTGTGTTAACTTTCCTGCCATCTTCTCTGCTTGGGGCAGCCACCAGCACCCTCTGGTTAAAATACGCTGTAATTTTTGCAAATCCAAATTATTTCACAAAATAATTGTGTGCGTGTGTCTCTTTGAAAAATTGTTTTCCAGTTAAGTGTTGTCAAGCAGAACAGTACTTTAAGATAAATTCAGGTAGTTCAGGAGAATGTTGTATAAGCCTGATGTTTGGGGTGATGATGGAGGCTGTAGAATGTATCAGTTACAACATGCTAGTTGATGCATTGCCCCCCCCCAAAAAAATGTGCCTTTTTTGTCTAGTCAAGACAAACTTCTGTAGACTCTAAAGTACTGGTTATGGTTACGGTGTTTTAGAGATAGACTGAAGTAGAAAATGATGAGCAGTTCTATGCAGTTCTACAAAAATAATTCCTGAATGTAGAAAAATCAGAAATTTTTATTTCCAGGGTACCATTTTGAAATACTTTGTGAAGAACTAGTCTATATAATACCTTAGTAAACTTCATAGGGCATTTAAACAAGGATTCCGATATTGTTAGTGTACACTTTTGGATTGCAAAACAAAATAAGAGCAAGTTTACAAAAAAACACAAACCAGTTCACTACTAAGCTTTTAGATATTTTATGGGGAGAAATGCAATCAGTAGCTTATGGCATAGATATATTTTATTAGAAAATATGCTACAATGTTCACTTCATCTTTTATAACCCTGGGTGTTTTTGCAGATTTCCTAGCTAGCTCCCATGAATACTGTTAAGCATGCCGACAGGAAAGTATTTCTAAATGTTATACTTTTAATGGTCTTCATACACCTGAATTACAGATCTCAAGAAATTGAACATGGAAAGCATGCATTTTAGTTGATTACCTTTTAAGGGAAAGGAATAATATTAATGCTTTCTTCATGAAAAATGTGGAGACGATTCAGTGTCAGATGAAGGTGGACATTCCCTGCCCTTTCAGAAATGTGTCTGACAGATGGAATTCGGGTTGCAGTCTCTCTGGAAATGAGTGAGCACATGTCAGCTGCATATCCTGAGGCTCTGAGTTTCTAGTGAGGTAGTGAATCTGCAAGAAAATGACTGACAATGACATGAGTTCTTGAACTTGCCCATATCAACTTTCATTTAGTATAATTTGCTATAAAACAAGTAATGTACATGTATGTATAATAATAATGCCAATACTGAATGGGTGTTGCAATTGGGTAGTATCCATTCTGGAGGAGAGAGATATATCGTTAGCTATAAAATGTCCTTGGTAGTGGCTATAGTTAAGATGTAGCTGGAGAAGAAACTACTGGAGTGGAGAAAACTGTCAGAAGAGCTTTAAAATCTTTATTAAATTGTAGTGTTATGTAATAAATAAAAGTAGTGAATAAATAATAGGCAAAATAATTAGACTGAATTTCAGAAGGATTCTGATTTATTAATCTAATTGCCACTTTTCGAAAACAGTTTTTTTTAAATTATATTGAAGTACCAAAATCATTAAGATTCCAGAAATGTATGCTTTCAACAACTTGTGAGGTAAGTAAGGGGGAAATACACCGTGATATAGTGTAGTACATTTTGTTATGCAATGTAACTGATATAGATGTCTTTTGTAGAATACCTCACCCCCTTTCCCAAGAAACAGGAACATAAAAGAACTACAAATGCTCTTAAGTCTGTTTTGGTGTTGGTTGAGGTGGTGGGGGTTTGTTTTTTGGTTGGTTGGTTGGTTTGGTTTTTTTTACTGTCTTGATGAAATAGTAAAAGGAGTTCTGCTGATCTAACACTACATATATTCAGTGACATTCAAGCAGGGAATATTTGCCTTAAAGACAATGAGCTATTACCAGGACTAATTTTAAAGTCTTGCATTTTATGTTTTACACTTCAAGATGATGAGACAGAAGACAGGAAAAAAAAGAGAATGCTTTTCGTTAAACATCCTTTCTGACATCTGTATTTACTTGCTTTACCACTGATTCACATGGAAGGGTCAGCCTGACCTTAAGGTTTAGATTGCCTGTGGAGGTTATAAATCCTTATTCTTATCCTTTCTCACAGCACCTTGTTGAGAGGTTTTATTTTCTTGAAATTTTAAGTCTTATAAACCATTTTGGGACTATAGAACTGAAAATCTTAACTGGAAGAAAGCTGTGATTAGATTTAATAAGGAAAGCATTTAAGAAAAATGTTTGCTTATACATTATTCAAAAAGTTCACTACTTCCTCTTCCATGCTTTTATGGTAAGAGTTGATGAAGAGTTGGCTAACTTTCACGTCACATAAATTGTGGGGTTGTAGGACTCTTTCTGAAATGGGTAATTTGGGGTAGGCTTTGCACAGGCTCTGTCTAGGACTGCACTTTATGAAGCATCTGTCTCCCTTTCCATGTTGAAGGAAGAACTTTCACCTGCTTGGGTTTCCCAGTAACTCCTTTCTTACAAGAATAATCTTCAGCAGAGAAATCCTAAATTTTGTTTACCCCTCAGGGATGGCTGTCTCAATTTTGTGCACCCAGGAAACCTACTGCACATTACAGAATATACAACAGTGTTGTCTTGCCTAATATTAAACTTTAGGGTTTTATTGCTTTCACCTTGAGCGTGCATTCATGATGCTGCTAGAAAGACGAAAATCTATGAGGCCTGTACCATTGCAGACCAATAAGAGATCTGTATAGAAATTAAACACATACTGGGTGACTTTTTTAGAAACTTTGATGTCCTCCAGATAAATGTAAGAGTCAAGTATTTGTGTTGCTCCTAAATGCATGAACCCTGGAAAGCCTCATAATTTTGTTTTATTCTTGCTGTTACTACTTTTGCTATCTCTTATGTGAGTTATGTGGAAAGAAGTCACCAGTGGTTCTACACAGAAATTTGAAGCCAAATTTGGTAGACTAAACTGTGATCTGTAAAACAGACTTCACTGAATCAGGACAGCGATCTTCTTGGAAACTGATAATAGATTGCTTTAAATTACGAAGTCTCTTGGACCAAGTGGATTCCAGAAAAAGAAAAAAAAAATTAAAGCTTTAGAGAAGACTCAGGCAAGAACATGTGCCCTGTTAAGACTATAAAATCCTTCTTAGCACTGATGAGAGTGTATAGATAAATATAAAAATGTAAGCTCCTGGCTCTCCTGCATAAAAACATCAGAAGAAAGTATCATGGACTTTAAAACGTCTGGCTCCTGTGATGTGATCAAAGAAAAAAAGATTAATTTTACTTCTCTTATCATCAAATTAGTAACTAATTGCACACAAAGAATGGTTTAACTGGAGTAAAATGCCCTTTACCTGTCAGTTAAACATTTAGGTTTGCGTCTATTTGGAATTAAGTCGTACTGTCAAGCTGCTTTTTAAATTTTAATGACAATTATTTCTCCACTTTGAAGTCACTATTTTAGTGTAGACTAGATTACAGAACTACAGTATTTATCCTTTTGTTTACAATGTAAGCTTGATTTATGTCTCCTTTTTGGTTTTGTTTTTTTTTTTTCTTTTTTTTTCTTTTTTTTTTTTTTTTTTTTTAATGGAGAGACTTCTAATAGAAGTTTCCTAAAAGCTTAGGTTCTGACTAGGGAGATGTAAAATTCAGTGACCTACTTTTTATATTAGTTTTTGCTAGTATAGATGGAGTGCTAGGTTTTACATGCTAAAGGCATTTGGATTAACATATACATCAAGTTTTTGAAGTCGTGGTATTATCTGATTGCAGCTTTCATTAAAATACACTTCTAGTCTTTGATACATGAGCTTAAAAAAAGGAAAAAATAATTTACATGTAATTTATTTTAATCTGAAATCTCGATTCAGGCAGCTAAAGAGAACTGGAAAAGTACTGTGGAAAACACATAGTGTCAACTTAAGACCTGTTAAAGCTGCCACCTCTGTTCTGCTGGGGCTGGACTGGCTTCAAGTCTTGTAGCCAAAAAGAGCAACTGGCAACAGGAATCCTCTGAAATTATTATCTGCCATCATGAGTTATTCTAATTGCTCTGATAGCCTCTCTGT